CAAAGTCCGACCCTTGTTCGGAGCAAAATGGCAACACCATCCTCTCTTCGGACTTGGCTGGCCATGGTCGGAGCTTTTCGACTACACACGCGACGTTGATATCCACGTCAATAGGAATTGCGATGCTTTGCTGCCCTGGTCGCAACGTATTTTTTATGGTGCTAGAAGATTGCTAGACTACGCGACCCTGCTACTTGGCATCTTAGGCTTGGAGTTGAAGGCGATTTCTGAGAAATATCTGTTGGTTCTGTACTGCTCACTATTCAGCCTCATTATTGCGTGACGCTCTAAAATATGTTAGTGGCATGCCTGTTGGTGTACCGGCTGCAGTTCCAGACTACTGGAAATAGGCCAAATCTGGTATACAAGCGGCAAACACGATAAAGCAGTATGGTTAACTACTTGATGATACTCTCAATAAATAGAGAAGTAGACTCACATTGAATATCATCGTGTTTATTTATTTGTGTCAATTTTTATCTCAATCAAACCTACAATTAACGCTTCAACCTTACAACAAATCTGCAGAACAAACGTTGCACACAATGGCAGATGCACTTGGTCCATCCACTCATTGGTGGAATGATGCCGGCCTGAGGAAACTCTACCTCTGGCTACCAGTTGTGATCCTCAGCAGTTCATACCAAGGTTTCGATGGCATGATTATGAATGGTCTGCAGTTGCTGCCCTCTTGGCAAGAAGGTAAGTGTCACTGTGTTCGACTCCAAGCCAAATCGTGTTAGTAAATTACGAGAGACTGACTCCGCACCCCAACTGCAGAATTCGACCATCCCGAAGGACCAGTTTTGGGCCTGCTGAACTCTATCCAAACGGTTGGAGCCATGTTGGCGCTACCTTTCATTGGCTGGGTCGTTGACAAGGTCGGACGTCGCAAGTCTATTGCTTTTGGTGCCTCGTGGACTCTTCTCGGTGCGATCTTGCAGGCAACATCCAAGCATATTGCGCAATTTGTTATTTCCCGGTTCATCATCGGTTTCGGCCTTGCATTCACCGTTGTTGGTGCCCCGTTGCTCCTCGCCGAGCTGGCCCTTCCAAAGCACCGTGGAACCATCTTGTCCTACTTCCCTACGGCATGGTATACGGGAGCCATCATTGCAGCTTGGACAACCTATGGTACGCAATTTATTGAAGACTCGCGCTCTTGGCGTATTCCCAGTGGTCTTCAAGCCGTCCCTGCTGTCATCCAGATCACCCTTCTTTGGTTTATCCCCGAAAGCCCGCGTTGGCTCATCTCCAAGGGGAACGGCGCAGCAGCACGAAGCTTCCTGGTAAAGCATCATGCCAACGGTGACGAGAGCAATCCCATTGTGGAGATTGAATATACACAGATAAAGCAGGCTATCCTTCAAGATGCACAGTATAAGGAACAGGGCAGCTATCTTGATCTTTTCCGAACGAAACCGAACAGGAGACGACTTATTCTTGTCACGCTCTGCGGTCTGTTCCTCGAGGTGAGAATGATAAGGTAATCCTCCCAAAAGAGCGTTTGCTTACAGTATTTCCAGATCTCCGGCAACGGTTTGGTTCAATACTATCTCCATTCCGTGCTGAACAGCATTGGAATCACCAAGACCATTGAGCAAACAACAGTCAACGGCTGCTTATCTATCTACAACTTTGTCTTGGCCCTTGGTGCTTCTTTCTTAGTTGATAGGATCGGTCGCCGCAAGCTCTTCATCATCTCTACCGCCGGAATGTTCTTTGCTTTCATTTTGTGGACTACGTTTGCAGCTTGTGAGTACTTACTATCGCGAGATTTCAGTTTCATGAATGCGAGCTAATTCAATTGACGCAGTATATACCGAACACGGCACACGGAACTACGCGATTGGTGTTATCGTCTCCATCTTCCTTAGCAACGGCGCTTATGACCTTGGATGGACTCCGCTCTGGGCTTATCCGGCCGAGCTTCTTCCCTACGAGGTGCGAGCCCGTGGAGTTGCATATATGACGGGTATTATGCATGCCGCAGGGTTCTTTTCTTCTTTCGTAAACCCGATTGGGTTGAAGAATGCTGGATGGAAGTACTACATTGCATTTATTGTCTATACGTTCCTTGAGGTAAGTTCAGCGTCGCGCCTTTGTTGATGTGACTGAGCCCGACTGACTCATTGTCTTTAATAGCTTATTGCGGTGTGGTATTTCTTTGTTGAGACCAAGGGTTATACCCTGGAGGAGATCGATACCATATTTGAGACACCTGGGCTTACTTGGAAGCAGAGAAGAAATCTCAAGGCTCCTAGCCTTGTTCGGGAGACTAGCTCCATTGAAGAGAGTGGCAACGCTGCTCGCAAGTCTGATGTTGCGGTCTCAAAGGTAGAGCTTTGAAGTTTTCATTGAAGGTTTGAAGGGGATTGTTCTGCGTGCCAAACCATTCACATCCTTACCCTAGCCGCTCTAGGGATAATTGGAAGGTGGAAACACATCCATAGTTCAATGCATTATCTCAAACTATGTATTCGAGTTGTCATCGCGATTTATTTGTTTACTGCCATTGACGCAGAACATGCTATGAAGCGCGCCTGATAATTGGCTGTTGTTGGATCCCTAATAAGTGGCGGTGTAGGACCCGGCTGGATGGGTTTGTTATCGAGACGCTAAATCGTAAATTCAGCTCCTCGCTTGTGCTTGGCCATAGGGGTGAGGAAAATATCTCCATAAAAGGTATCCTAATTTTATCCTAGACTTATTCTAAACTTATACTAGGTCCTTTTATTACTTAGGATCGAGGTCCCGAGTTTTCTTGTCAACGTGTCATTTAGGGTTGATGCTGGTTCAGGGCTGTGTATCGTGCGCCTTACCCTTTCTACCCCTGGCGCTGCGCCCTGTGGGCTTTTATTGACTCTAATGCGCCACAGCTGAACGGGCTTACCAGTCTAGGCACGCTTAAATCACTAACTCAACAAATTTGCCCTTGGCAATGAGCGATGCGGATTCTTATTGATTCCTCTTCATGACAGCTGAAAATTCTTCCCAGTAAATATGGCTAGGACACAGCAATAGATTTCTAACTTGGAGCTGAATGACAGAAGACGACACTTGAAGCTCGTTGATAAAGACTATTAATATCTAGGTAGAGGCCATAATTAAAATGCTTTCCTTAGTCGCGGTTATTCTCCTGAATCTGTAACAAAAGCTTATTCGGAAATGGATTCATCATCACCATCCTCATCGCGTAACAGCCTAGACACTGGCATTGATGCTGCGAAACTGGAAGCAGCCAATCGTTATGTCCGCTGGAACCTTTTATTTCTTCTTATCATCTTCACCTTTCTCATCTTTCCAATATGGATGCCATTCACCCCCTATGTCAACCAAATAACCAACACCTTTATCATCATCATCATTGGCCTTTTCCAGCTCATCTGGCTAATAGCCAGTATTTGCGCCATTCGTCGAACAATAGCCATCAACAGCCGAAACAAACACAAGCTTGCAAAAGCCCAAGATGTTGAAGCATCTGACGCAACGGCCACCTGCTCCACAAACATCCGTCACATAGTTGCCATGACCCTATACAAGGAGCCTATGACCGTGCTGCAAACCACGTTGGATTCATTGGTGGAGCAAAAAGATGCAAAATCCCGTCTCTCCGTCATTATAGGCATGGAGTGCCGCACGCCTGACAAGGAATCTAAGCGCGATGAGGTCTACGCGAGGTACGAGAACAAGTTCCTCCGTCTGATCGTTACCTTCCATCCATCGGGGATTCCCGGCGAAATTAGCGGCAAATGTTCCAACATGAACTACGCTTGTCGCCAAGGCCTGCAGATACTCCGTCAAGATGTTGAGTACAACTATGAAAAGTATGAGCACATCTTTACCAACTGCGACTGTGATGCCGTCTTCGATCCTGAATACATGCTGGAGCTGGAAACCGAATACTTGAAGCTGGATACTGCGGATCGTCATTCCTCCATCTGGCAGTCCATCATTGTATACAGGCGCGACTCAATGCCCTTCTTTGTCGATATTACTGGTGTTTTGCGAACCTTTTTCTTCATGGGCGTATTGATTCCTTGGAACATCAATCCCATGTCCCACTACTCTCTTAGCGTCAAGTTGCTTGAGGAGGGTGCTTTTACTCATCCGGCCTACCAGATGGAGGATATAATTGCTTTGATACGCTACACCATCATGACAAAACGAGAAATCCGCATCAGGCCGTTGAATCTCATTTCCATCAACGGCCCAACCTCTGGGGCCAACTACGTTGACGAGATACGCGAGTGGGCACTCCAGATTCGGCGATGGACCATTGGCGCGGGCGAAGTGTTCCATTACTTTATCGTCAAGACCTATCGAATGCCTGGATTGTACCTTTCTATCAGCTGGGCGACGCGCTTTTTTGTTTACTATAGCCTCGTCCTCTGCGCCAGCGCTATCTTCTCCGTGGTATCTCCGATCGTTGTTCAGTTGGTCAACGGAGTTGTTACTGAACACGATACACTCTTTATCAGCGACTCCCTATTCTCGACCACTTGCTTCATCTTCTTAGGAACGCAATACGCCTTTTTGCTTGTCGTCTCCATTCTTGTCCGGTGGAATATTCCTGTGCCTTGTGATGGCAAGACCAATTATGACAAAGGTGCTTGGGGTGTTGCAAGAGGACTATTGCATTGGATCCTGATGCTGCCAACAATCCTAGCCTACAGCTTTGTTGAGCTTTATTCCTTTTTCGAGTTGGCCATCAGAGGAAAGGATGTTTGTAAACACAACGCAGCAAGCAAGAGTAATTTAGTTCTTGTGAAGGATAATGGTAATTGAACTAGAATTAATTTACTAAATTTAGATTAAGATTTTAATAAACTTGCCTATAATAGTAAATAATATACATTTTTATTAATCACTTCTTATAATAGCTAAATATTAGCTATACCTGGCATTTAGTAACCACAAAGGCGGGTCTCCGGTAGTTTTCCCGGTACATGCTGCATCTATACACATTTCTAAATTGCCAAACGCAAATTGCCTGCCTGTTAATCCAGGCCCGTAGTGAATATACTTGCCAGAGTTAGTCATGATCGTCCGAGTATTGTTCCGAATAAACGGTTCCTCAATAGAGCACCAGCAAGTGTCTTGGAGGAATTGGATCCCGAACTTCTCAAGCTCCTCAGTGTAACCCGCCTGCGAGGCAAGACCATATTGAGCACGACCACAGGTGACTACCACGGCAACATCACCTTTCTTGGTTCTTCCTTGGCACAGCTTTGACACCTCTTTGATTTCCTGGAAAGAGAAGTGCGGATTGCCAAACGAGATGAGGTCGATTTCTCGCGGCTTAGAGCCATGATTGAACTCATCCCAGATTGCTTCGAGATGCTTCCAGTCCACATCAAAAGCTTCGGGGATCACACCATGCGGGCACACTGTCTCGAAGGTGGGAGCTTCTGGAGTTGGGTTGACCATGTGGAACATGGGAGCACTGGAAGATGTAGCAAATGCGGCCGAGAACGCCTTGAAGTTGTCATTGCTCGGCTTCAGATTTTCCAGTCCAGTGATGACTGGAATGCGAGTCATTGCAATGGCCCCGAGAGCGTAGCCCAAAATAGGCCAGAAGGAGTCATCGATCCCTCTCGGGGGTGTTACTCTGAGCCAGACAGAGGCAAGGCGATTTTCGTCCACATAGACCCCTGCCTTGGGTGCACGACCAGTCAAGGCAATCAGAGCCTCCAACATATTAGGGTTGTTGAGTGTCCTCGCGCCAAGCACACTGTTTGCGTAGATAACGGCATTGGACTCACCCCAAGCGATTGGATCACCGAGCTTAGGGGCAGTCTCAAGTAAGTATGGCGCGCAGGTGAATGAAATCTTGCCACCCATATCGACAAAGGCCTTAGCTAACTCATCACAAGCTGATCCAAACTCTGCGTTCACCCCGAGAGCCCGCCAGCGTTTTTGATCGATATTCAGAGAATTGATAGTCGTAGGGACTAGGAATCGGTCACCCGAGGCACGAAGTCTTTGTCCAAAAGCAACCGAACCTGGGCCATACCAGGCAGCATCTGCATGAGCCTGGCTGACATCCATCAGCTCTGGGGCTCCCATCATATGGGCCATTCGGACAATGATTTTCAGCGAGATTCTAGCCGCTTCGCCGTTGGCTCCATCTAGCATTGCTTGATCGGTATCACTAAGTCGGGTTTTGAGGGTATTGATGTCGATAGCAGGCTCTACAGCTTTATTGGCCAAACTGTCATTCAAGGGGGCATCCGAGACTTGCCCCCCCCCCCCCCCCCAGGACGTGAACGGTCTTCCCGTTCCAGTCCATAACTTGACGAAAATCTACTGGGTTCAGCGTAACCACGGCGGCCGTTTTGTTGAATAATTCTTCGGCAACCATAACTCCGAGTGTGATGATCTCCTCGCTACGCTGGAAGATAAGTGCCTTAGGCCCCAAGCCATTCAGAATCAGCTCCATCACGATGACGCTGCCGCCGCATGATCCTCTGCCTCCAGGTATTGCCAATATGGTATCTTTGAGCCAACAACCGCTCAGCGGATGGAACCGATCAATGATCTCACCCGTCTTTGGGTCAACGCCGCCCCAGAAACTTAGTTCAAGATCAGCTGACAGCAGTGTGGCTGAGGCGGCGCCGGTGACATAAGGGATGCCGCGTAATATGCGTGATTCTGGCACGGACATCTTGGTAATGCCAAGGGGGTGTCGCACAGTTTAGATATAGAGTGGGATAATATCAGAGAAACTGTAGTATTATGCTGAGGTCAGATAAGCTGGACGTTGGAAGGCGGGGCGGAGATTTATATGTAGATTTTAGAAGAAGACAATAGAGGGAACTTCGACAAGCCGTAGCCTCTTTAGCAGATTCGACCGGCATGCTTCAAGTGAGTGAGAAGACTGGTCTGAAGACCTAACCGACGGGGTGTCAGGAGGCTCTCGGATCCTAGAGCCGCAAATATTAGCGAACAAATGACTGCGCCGATTTCTTTCGGGATGAAGTCCTGTATCTAGTAACGTGTATATCAAAGTGGGACAGTAATATCTATATTTCATGGAAAACTCATGGGACACTCAAAAACTTATTAGACTCTAGAAACCCCAACTTGATTCAATGCAACAGTAATTTGTCAAGAGCAGGGTCAACAGGTGATCCGGCTACTCACAAAGATGTTTCCTCAGTGCATTCATGCTTTTCACCACATTATGGGGTGAAGCTAGCCCTGGTTTGGGCTCTTGGTGTTAATTGTGATAAGGTTAGGAGGTTAAAGGTCACTACGACAGGCAACTTGGGCCCCAATCGGCACTATCTCCCGTCAGCCATATCTCGGGATCTTCAAGGAGCACTCAGCGACAGAGGCGTGAATGGAGTCTTCTAGCTACTTGAGCTTAATCTAGGGTATCTGCACAGCACATTCTGATCTAACCCAATTCGACACGGCTCTTGCAGCATCAGAATCTTCTACACTTACTCAATTTGTCGAGCCTAGCTACACTGTGCCTAAACCTATATTGCTCGTGTGTCACCAGACTGTAGTAGCAGGTATATCTGCTGAAATTCTCTCAGCATGGTCAAGATAGGGCTACCCACCGTGCCTAGGTTTGTGGACCAGAGACTCTACGATATAGTTTTCCTAGACATGATTCGGCTGTGACAGCTAGAGAGAAGCAAGGCCAAATTCATCACTCTGCATGCCGCAGTGATGCTACATGTTATCTATTTGATGCATGGGATAAATCATGTTGGCGTATCTTATCCGATTCAGCCGTTTTATTGGCACAGGGTGTTAGACCTTTTGCACCGGAGCAAACGGAAAGAAGGACGTGAACTATTGATATGTTTTCTGCTTGCTCTATATGTTGCTGGCAATTACATGTCTTCCATTTCGTGTTTTACACAAGCTGCGGGAGAAGCTGAGAAACAGGCGATACAAACCTCCTATAGCTACATGGCTCTTCTGATTCAAGAACCTCTAGCGACTCCTTTGCAAGGTCTTCTTGATAATAATTATTTCGGATCCCGAGGAGCAAATAAATTCCTCCAAATATGCTCATTGATATGCCGTACAGTACCGGCTATCGCTACTTTTGGTAAGCGCTGACACCAAACATCATGCGATCTGCACCACTCGGCCCATCGCCTGTGAGGTGCTGGATAAGCGTCAGCTTCGCGGGTGTTAGTATCGGCACGGCCCGAAATTAATGCATCCTAATCTCACTTTTCTCACAGCGATAGTGATATCAGCACCTACGCGTAAGCAACACCCTTGCCTAACTGGCGCTGGTGCGTTATCTCGTCACAAGCAAACTCCCGCCGGATCCAATGGAAAAGGAACGATCTATTGCGTGGCTTTTGAATGGTCGGGGAATATGCACCCATGTCCCGTGTGACAAGATGAAGATAAGCAACGTCGCACCTAGGGATTTGCGTGAAAATGACACTTTCGATCGATGGGACGCACCGTTCCTTTAGAATTGGATTACGAGGCTAGGACTTGGCATCACCTCATAATGGGGCCTCATATCGAGTCTTGGAGACAAAAAGGTGCATAGTCTTATCCTGTGTAACACTCCTCGCTCTGTTCTCACATAATCCTGACTGCATAATGGCACAATCAGAGCATAGGATTGCCTCAATCTGACTGCTTCTACAGATAATGTATGACACCTTACGCTTTGGGCCAGAGACAAGAGACAAGAGGATCCTGGCAATTAATGATTAGTTCGCACATGATATAAAGAGAATGCCCGGGAAGTACCCCGTGGAGCCACCATGCGATGCCGACACGTCCGTCTGGCACCCACATGTTCGGCTCGATGTCTCACCGCCAATCATGCGAGCGCTGCCGGCAGCAGAAAGTCCGGTGTCTTCGAGACGCCACCTCTCAGAAGCCATCACCAGGCCAGCCGCTGCCAAAATGCTCCAAATGTGCAAAGGCAGGCACAGCGTGCGTGTACAACTGTATGATCGATCGAGTTGGTCCCACCATCTAACAAAAGGTCAAGGTATCACTACATTAAGAGCCAAGACAAGAAGATCGTGCTTCAGTTCTGAGAATAGTATGGGCCTGTCATCTTTAGAGAAACAGACGGGTGGTTCTCTAGAAGATGATTGGCTTGACTATGACAGCTTCAACTGGAGCCAGACTAGCACAATGGCCCAAGCAGACCTTGACCTCGAGAATACGTCTCAGAATATTGATCCAGACCTGAAGATGAGTAATGACTTTATGACTGGGATGGATGCACACTTGGACGAGGGACAATGGTGGGATGATACAACCCCCGATTCAAACACCATCTTCCAATGTCGAAGTCAGTGATGATAGGGCGTCGCCCAATTTCTTACAAGAACTTACCTCGCAGGCTATGGCTGTGGGCACCAAGACCATCTCAGCTACGACCGCTCTGCTCCATCCCAGCAGCGCTCCAGAAAGATGCTGGAAGATTCACTCTACTGGCTTATGTCTCCTGTCAGTGAGACGGATCTACACGATATGCTGGCTGAGGTAATCGCGGGCGACCGACATGATCTCATTACAGGTATTCGTGGTGATATCTGGACCTACACTTGGCAAGAACAACCGCGTTTATGGCATTACCTCCAGTCCGAGGACGGTAGCGATGATGCCACAGCCAAAGAAGGCAGCAATGCATCTCTCAAAGTCCAGCTTGCTTCATCTGTGGCTGATCCAGATGCCTGTGTCGCCCTCCTCCTTGGTGGCTTTACCTCGGCATTATGTGGAATGTTGCACATGAAGTCAGAGGAGCTTGACACTAATGTCCCAGTTGCTAGTATTGGCATCGATTCACTTGTGGCTGTCAGGGTTAGAGAATGGTTTATGCAGCAGGTTGGTGTAGAGGTGTCTGTATTAAAGGTGATGTCTTTAAATACTCCTTTACTTGCTTTATGTAAGGATGTTCTTGCTATATGGAGGAAACAGGTAAAGGCTTAAGGTATCTTATTTCTTTTTCAATAACTTATTGAAATTTGGTGTGTTTGATTTGTCCTGCCCTCTTGTATCTCAAGGTTTGGTGCGTAACTCAATCCCTTGGCTCAAACTAACAAGCAGATGCAATCCCTACTGTAGTTCTTTTATCTTGCCGAGTTATAAGTTATGCATAGGAATTTGCTCTCCATCACTCCTGACCAAACCGTGGATATCACTCCCTCGGTTCCACTTTCCGGACTTGTTATCAGTTTCTTGAGAGCCGTTAATATACAGGTCATCGGTTGAGCCTTGCAAACTTCCATTATCATCAAGACGTTCAAAAGAACCTTCTAGATCATTGTCTCTATGTGTACGCGAGATGATAGCCGTGCGACTGTGCTTATGGCCTATCGTGACAAGAGTTCCTTTCTTGCTATCCTCTGTATTGCCTTGCCCCGAGCTTCTAACTGTAGTGAGGAGGCTCCCTATCATGCGCTTCAAAAGCGGAGCACAAGATGGTAGGCAGGCGGCAATGATCGCAAGACAGACTTCGACGGACGATGCGAGGTGGCCAAAAGGGATGGCTTGCGTAGGATTTTGTGAGTCTTTATAAATCAAGAAGAGAACAAGGCGCGCAATGGAGGCGAGCACAACACTAAGTAGTAAGTTAGCATGCTGAGTGTAGTTAAGGCATCCTTTCCTACCTGCCACCCAGTAAGAATATAGTAGTTATAGCCCATTTCTTGTCCCTTTTTAACTGCAGATGCCAAACTTCCCGAATTGGAAGCACGACAGTGCCGATATCAAACAGGATATTCGGTATAGTGATCCCGATATAAAACTTGTTCGTGTTGATGCATTTGCTTGGTATGGTTTTATCCCACCAACCTTTAATAGGGTCGCAAGAAAATACTGCATTACCAAGAGTGAGAAACAACCAAACATGGGGATAGATACTGATAACATACTGCTCACTGTAATCACAGAGACTCCCCAACCTGCCATCATAGCAGCCATTGCCCACGTACAGTACCGAAGGACGCGGGATGTTGAAAAGATGCGATAGTACATAGCAAGAACAGCCATCTTGGACAAGGGGCACGAGATCCCGTATAAGATTTCGCAAGCAATAAAAGACTAAAGAGTATGAGAACCATACAGAGCAACAGCTAAGCAACCAAGCCAGAGATAAAGACGATACATACCCGAAGAAAATGAGACACGCCCCCATACTCATTCGTTACTACAATAATATTTTCCCCATAACCGAAGTGCACAGCTGTGAGACATATTTAGCAAGGAATCTTGGAATTCGGGATGCGGGCGACGAACCGATGCCTTCAGAGATTAAGAACAAATGGTTTGCGATCTTACCACGGTCAGTTGAACGCTATTACTCCATGAGCATCGGCGACATACCAGTGCAGCTACAGAGACCCATTCCTCAATAGGCGCCCTAGTCTTTGCAATGTACCGCGAGGTCCATATTCGCAATCCAACAAACACTGTAGCAACAAAACTGAGAACCGCATGCGGGATGATAAGGATGTTGGCGATACTGGTCTCGGAGAAGTAGGTGTTGTTTTCCATGGTTGAAAAGCAGTATGACATGAAGTGGATGGAAAGGGGACAAATCTTCAGGCGAGTCTTATAGAAACGCACATATCGCGCTTGCAATTGTAATTGTCCTTGTTGGGTATCTTGGCGCTGCTACTTTGATCAAAGCGGCGGATGGCGTCGATCTTGGACCCAAAGCCTACTTTTAGTATCGATAGGAAATTTAATTGAAATCTAAGAACACCAGTGGCTTGATGCTAAGTTCATTTTGATAGCCCGGAGTCTCTCTAGGGCCGGCAGGGTCGAATCAAAAGGAGCCCGGCTTATTTCCTGGTTGATCAGTATTGCGCTAATTGAGTCAGGGTTTGAGTCAGGAGTTATGTGGTGAAACTGCTGTGGTAAGCGCTAGACATATAGCTGGTTAGCTTAGGAGAAGAGGAGGCTCGGAATGCATTTACCATCGAATAGGAATGCGTCCGGTTCAGAAGTTCGATCTCGACTGCGCTGTGGCTGTGAAAGAGTCTAAGCATTCAGCGCCATTCACGCAATTCACGCCACTGAGTGCTGGCACAGTGATATCTTATGGTCCCAGTGATTTGGTAGCACCAACCCCATTCGTATGAAAACACAAGGCATAAGCCTGCATCTAATCCGGAGATTTCCATACTGCAGCAGGTTGGCAAAAGTCCTGAAAATTTTCGATTTCACCCCAACTACGTCGACTAAGGGTCCGGCTTCAGTGCAACAACAGGAGGGGAACCAGCACCCAGCTCGTATTCAGGAGCCATCTATTTCGAGCAGCGTTTAAAGCTCAACTACTCTGGGGCCACAGCTAGTGTTACCTTCATTTTCCTACACTCGGCCTGCTACGCCATCTTCTTTGGCAATACACCATTGGTCATTATCTCTGATATCTTCCCACAACATCTTCGCGGGAAGGGCAATGCTTTCGCTGTCTTTTTCATGTCTCTGACAAATATTTGACTTTCTCAAATCACACCATACGCATTTGAGCCTGGAAGTTCTATCTTGTCTTCATTCCTCTTAACCTGGCCGCCGCTGTTGTCTACTGGGTTTGGCTACCTGAAACAAGTCAGTTGACCCTCGAGGAGATTGCTGGGGCATTTGGAGACGAAGTTGTTGAATCTGAGAAGCTTGACCATGACCACAAAGAGAATATTAGTAAATGAGAATACATACTTACTAGGGCATGTGCTTCAAATTGAATAAGTACATTTATTATGATAGCAACTCCTAAGAATAATATCCCCGTCACTTATTACGTCAAAAAGCCATATGTGGATTGACGTGCTTGTAAAACTGACTGCTTGTGGCTGCGTATGGTCGGCAAAGCTCAACGGTCCATTGATTTTCCGCGCTTGATACTTGCCATGGCGAGGATCGCAGCCATTCTCAATATCTGCTGATTACATCCAGATTACTATTTTCACACGCAACAGCTCACTAACGCCAACGCAAGACCTCCAATACACCTGCCATTCAATCTGGCAATAAAGGTATACTTATCCCAAAGCATATCGGCTTGCGTCACTATGGACCCAACTCCGCAGGATTTAAGCGACATAAGAAAGCGGATTAGCGAGATAATGGCGAATGTATCAAAAGAACAACAAGAGCTGGATGATCGTCAAGAGCAAAGATTTCGTGTCGAATATCCTCAATAGTATGATCGCGGACTGGAGGCGAGAAGAACTCTGAAACGAGGTTGAACTGGTATTTCATATATGTCCTGGCGGACGAGAACATTAGCGGAGTGGGTAAGCGAAGTGTATTGGCAGACATAGACATGACAGGACCAATGACTGGGCGAGAAGGTTCATCAGGCCTAGGCATCAGAGAGCCAATCGATGGAAACCTAAGGCCGTGAAGTTCAGTGAGGATATCGATCAGTTGACAGTAAAAGTTCCGTCGGTGTTCCTCCCTAGCGACAAGCAACCGTTTTTTATCCAGTGCTTGACCCTGGATGAAGTCGGTGATGAGAAACATCTGGTTTCCAATGCTATTCTTGGTTAGAAGAGCATCGCGACCATAAGCCCGAACGTGGGGAACTGGAATTTGGGTATGCTGCTCAAGGTATCCATGTGGAGGTCAGTGCGAGTTTGGAAACGAATCAGTAATGAGGCTTAACTTACTGCATGGTTGTCACTTCGCTCAGCAATTTATCCCACGGGTTATTCACAGCAGGCTCAATGGGGACTCTGACAACCCACTTTGGCTCGTCGGCGGAAAATTCAACAAAGAAGCAAACATTGAAACTACCGTTGGCCTTGTTTGCGACTCGGCAAGGCTTATCATTGTTATATTTTGACGCCAATGCACAGATGGCGGATTGGTCGAGGGACTCGATAAATGCTCGTCTTGCTTTGATGGACTGGTCTTCTGTAACAACGGCGAATTGATTGCTACTTAGATTTGGGTCGCTCGTGTCCGTGTCCGATTTAGTCAGTTCTGGGGTGTGGATCTTATTCTTGGTATCGTTGCTTTGTAATTTGGATTGTTGATATTTGAGTAGTCGAGAAATACGGAAGCTGTAGGAGTCGATCCCAAAAACTACCGAAGAAGCCAAAGAGTGACGCCCAGCGTATGCGAAATAGTTGAGCTATCGCGGATAGCATGGCAGGTCCAATATTGACGATGCATTGTTGGGTAGATGCTGATTGATTGATGGTTGAATGATGCTGTTTGGAAAAGGAAACCTGCCATTCGGTTAATAGTTAGTCCGATGGCTACTTAGCTCTTCCAGCGAATTGTGATGGTCGGTGATGTAATTGGTTGAATCTCTTACATAAGGGTGTGACAGGCGCTATAAATAGCAAACCCGCAAGTGATCTGTGTGGTCTCTATAGGGTAAGCTCAACTTCCTTGACGTAAACATTAAACCAGGGATTAATATCATAAATTAGGGGCTCTTTAGTAGAGTAGATTATGAGGAACTTTACTTGCGTTGGATTTGAAAGAGTCCACCATTGGCTTAGGTTACTCAGTCACCTGGTAAACAATGCCGGCATTCTTCCGAGCTTTGAGTAATTTCTCAACAGCCTAAAACATCAAACTGATCAGACTGCAATAAAATCAAGACATCTCCTTGGATTAACGAAGATATAGCTCTAAGGCTTGAGATCAAAATGGTCAAGTAGTCCGTCCCCAACCCAGCGACAACAATCATCTATTCCGGTAGTGAGCGCCATCATAATAACCCCAAGTTCGTCCATTTCTTCTGGCTTCACCACGGCCATATCCGTTTCCCAATGAGCGAAGCGTATAGGTAATGTTTGACATCTAGCAACAGCAGACTCCCACTCAAATCTCGAAGTGGCGGACCAAAGAGCCCTTTGACCAAAAAAAGATAGCGCCGGAAACTCATGGTGAGCATCGTCCCAGCCGTTCCTCAGGAATGAATACAACCCATGCAGGCTGTATCCTATTATAACAGTGCGTCTCAGGCTCTCAGCAAGACACCAGCCTTCCCAAGCATCAGAGCCTGGCGTCATCAATTGACTGCTCATGATTTGTGTCGAGTCTTCAACACTTTTCATCCGCTGTTGTAGGCGCCGAATGCTGCTGACAAAGAAGGTCTCCACATTCTCAGCATTTGCTCTTTGCCGAATGTCTCCATCCAGCAAGCGAATTATCTGTAGTAGAATAAATGCCTGAACCGAAGATAATAAATCGACGTCAGAGTCGGCCAGTTGTGTGAGGTCAATCAACTCATCAGCATATTGCTGAATAGTACTGTAAATCAGCTGCTGATTCGTCTCACACTTTCTCTCATAAAGCGCACAAATGGCAAATATTCTTGTAATTGGCGGGGACAGATATTTTTCGACAACTCTTCTATGAATGAAAGGCACCTGACCGTGAAGAACCAACTGCTTAGGGTATGACTTGAAACGCTCAATGGTGTATACAATACGACGTTGGTACTTTTCGCCTGCCAAAACACTCTTCTCAGCCGTGTCGTGCGGATTCAATAAGTCAGGTACCAAGAAGTCATTGAGATTTGTCATTGCTTCCTGCCAATCCAAGTCATAGTCTGGGAAAGGCGGCAAGGCGAGGTTATCAGCATCGAAGGTTATATCAGATGCAATACTCGCACTTTGTGACTCTGTTTGAGATTCGTCCACTGTGGTTCCTGCGATTTCTTGAGGAAGAGCTTTTGAACTTCGCGCTAGGGTTCGTCGTGTCGAGGGACGTGGATAAAGGCATTCAAGTAATCGGACACGACAACGGTAACATTTTGGAACTGCCATGTCGCATCGTCTTTTGGACTTGATGCATGCAGCGCATGCTTGGCGATAAGGAGGTGGCATGGGAATCAGAAGAAGTCGCTGTCTTCTAATTGAACTCACTGCTTACAATGATGAGGGGAAGTTGTTGTGGGGGGATCTTTACTTCCGCACTTTAGGACTCTCTAATTGGTCTCGCTTATTTTTGGCTTCCGCTGGTTAATCTGTGGGTACACTTCATGCTCCACTTCCGTTCCCACCCGCCAATTAAATAATTGATCTTGATCTTGTGAGGCGGAAGTAAAAATGACGGAAGTAAGCTTCGCAGAGGCATAAGGTAAGCACCCTCATGTTTTTGCTGGCAATTATGTTAGAAATCAATAATGTCCAATTAATGGACCTGGTTGGTTCAAAGATCTTACTCTCTAGGTATAAATATGAACTGCTGCTTCCGTTGCCGGTCTCCTGTCACGAATTTCTACATCTCATCTCGAACAACACATCTCCAAAGATACACCTCCAACATTCAATATCATTGTAGCCATGGCTACTTTCAAGCTAGACTTTGTTCCAACATACCGCCATGATACCTACGACGCAATCTCTGAAACAGACCCCGAACTATCCTGCGAGGGAAAAGTCGTCTTTGTTACAGGCGGCGGTCGAGGAATTGGTCGTGAAATCGCAAAGTCCTTCGCCATCGCTGGGGCTAAAGGCATATTTATCATTGGAAGGACTGGTACAGAGTTACTCAGTGCTGTAGAAGAGATCAAAAGTGTCTCTACGGGCACTCCAGTACCAGTTCATCATGCCGAAGCCGATGTCACTGATAGAGCGGCTGTTGCATCTGCCTTTAAGCAGGCTATTGCAGCATTCGGCCACATCGATGTCCTCATCCAGAACGCAGGATATCTAGATGCCCATCGCTCGCTGCTGGACTCTGATCTCGATGACTACTGGAAGACGTTTGAGATCAATGTCAAAGGAGGCCTACTTGTAACCCAGCAGTTCCTGAAGCAAAGCAAGCCCGGTGACACGATTATCAATATCGGATCTGGAGCAGGGCATTTGCCCCCCATCCCGGGCTACTCTGCGTATTCTTCATCAAAGCTTGCATTCGCAAAGGTAATAGAATCTGTCCAGTTGGAAAACCCTCATCTTCGCGTTTTCAGCATCAATCCCGGGGCCATTGCCACAGAGATGCAGAAGAAGTCTGGTGATATTGCCACAGTGGACAGCATTCGTAAGTTAATTATCCCCGAATTTCGAGTTCTTGGGTTAACATTCTTAGGGCTCCCAGCGTCGTATTGCGTCTGGTTGGCTACTTCGAAAGAGGCTGATTGTCTGAAGGGCAGGTTTCTTTGGACCAATTGGGACGTCACAGAGCTGCTGCAGCGGAAGGATGAAATAGAGAAGCAGAATCTTTTAACTCATGGCCTTCTTGGTCTGTAATTGCCTTGAGCATCAGCCTAACACTATATAAATATAGTAATCTGAATTATATTTTCACGCCCATCTACCTATCCAAGGGAATGGCTGGATGCCATGGCGCGCTCAGCACTGCGGGAGGATCGCCGTGCTTGACTATTTATCTAACCTGAACTGTCCCGTCGAATTGGGTGATGGTGATACAAAGTAGGCTGAATATCGAATGGGATAATTACGAGGGAGGCCAGTGACGGAGGCCCAGTATATGAGGCAGCTGCAATGAGCTCTATAGTGGCTAACATTACTGGGATTGTCAGTTAGTGGCTTCGAGGGAGGAAAGCCAGCAACCTATAGCATTAGCCATGCATTGAACTTTGGCCAGGCCAACGATATCTTGTGTTACAGTACCACGATAAATAAGTCTGGCTTGCCTTATTGTCTCCCGCACTATTCAATCAATTCAAACAGTATTTGATAAGTAACCCTAGGAGTCATTGGCTCAACTAGGCCAAGGATGGGATTAACAAGATTGAAAAAGATGGTCAGCGCTTAAGACGTGGTTTAATTGGTGGTGTCGCCGAGACGTAGTGATCGGCAGGCTCCTGCATTTCAGCTGGCAAGGATTGAGTGTGACAGGCGCTTAATGGTTTTCGAGTGAACAACTGAGGTTCTTACTTCTCTCTTATGCCACCCTCTTTAGACGTTCGTTTTCAATTTCTTCCGTCTCCTATAATATGAAAACACTCATTCTGAACTTTTCGCCTAAAGGCGATACCGAGCTGATCCTCCGTCGTCCTAACTTTCGGAAGCGCAATGACTCCAAAGAGGCCAAGAATGAGGATACAGCAATTGAGACCGCAATCGAGGATGAAGTTGTGAAATCGGATGATGACAAATCTGAAGATGGCCAACCCACAGAAGATCAAACACATGTTCTTGAAGTGTATTCTGATCGGTCCTCTTCGGTACACAACACCGATGACCTGAAAGCGCTGAAAGCCTCTGACGAGAACGGCCTCTTTGTTGAAATCCGTTTCCGGGTCTCATCAGCACACCTCATACTGTCATCCCCTGTTTTCAAAGCTATGCTCGACGGCCCCTTTAGCGAAGGTATCCGCAACAACGATAATTTCTTTGAGGTCAAGGCTTTTGAATGGAATGCAGAGGCGCTGGTAATTCTTCTGGATATTATCCACGGGCATCATCGATGTCTTCCAAAGGACGTCGAGCTTGATATTCTCATTGAGCTTGCGATGCTATGCGATTATTATCGGTGCGAAGAGATCGTGGAAGTCTTTGCAGAGCGGTGGATAGCGGCATTTGGGGAAGATAAGCCGCCGTATGAAGATGAAGCCACTATGAACTGGATGTTTATCGCTTGGGTTTTTCAGAAAGGAAAGCTGTTCACCAGCATGGTAGCTGCGACGCTGCAGCATAGGAAGATCCCTATGTACACAGACCTGCCATTGCCAAGTACTATCGTTGGTATGTTTCTCTATTAAGTTGTGTACGCATAGTAAGGCGACTAATCAGATTGCAGAAAAGGTGGAAGCTCAGCGTGTGAAGCTTATTAATGAAGTCCTAAATAATCTCTATGGTCTTCAGGAGTCACTCTTGGTCACCAACGATGACTGCAAGCGGGAATGTGCATCAATGCTTCTGGGCTCACTTATGAAGCAGATGCGTGAAGCCGGACTTGAGATCCTGAAGCCCAACGACTTGTCATCAACAGTCCGCAGCGTTGTGGAACTGAGAAGGTTTGTATCGGGGCTCGAAACCCCTGTCTGGCATCTTGCTGGGGGGTACGGTGGTCCACTCAAGCATGATTGTTCTCTCAAGGATAAGACAAAGCCGTGGATGGATGATATGGCGAAGACCTACATGGACGGGTTTCGGTTCCAGGACTTTAACGGCGCTTTTACTTCTAAGGGCGTTCAGGACTAAAGAGGACCCTGGGAAGATGAAATAGCTTGGCAGGTTGTATGGAATATTCAGAAATCTTTAGAAAGACTCCCCTGCCAGCTTTTTTATTACTAAGTAAGCCATGCAACATACTACTGGCTAGTCAGTTTCTTTAATATGTCTTACACAGCTTGCTTTACCTTTCTGATTAGTAGTATCTACTAAGCGCCTATAGACTTTCTCTCATTCAATGGTCGCTTTTGCTATATGTATAACAGAGCCACCATATTGTGTCTCTGAGAATGCGCTCAGTGGCTTACCATCTCGATCCTTCACTTCCATTCTTATATTTAAACGGCAATTCGAATGTTGGTCCAAAGCTGCAAACATTCCCGACACCTTCTATGTCCCTTTCACGATCCTGTCTTGTTGTAACTGACTCCAGAACCTCAGCGAGCTCCTCTCGAATGGTTTCCTGCTCGCCGGCTTGTTGGGAGCCATGTAAGTCAGAATGCATCCCGTCATGCGCCGATAACGTCTTTTCCTCGGTGGCCTCTTCATGCAAATCTGTTGCCTGCCTTATCTTTGCCATCTCAAATGCCACAGCGGCATCAATTCGTTCCTTAAAATCCTTGTCCTGTTGCTCTTCTCCAATTATAGCAAAGTGGCTCCTGCGGTAGACCCCGAGAGCACTCAACAAGAATGCGGCTACCTCCCATCCAAATAAGATTGGCAAAGCGTATCGAAGCTGTGGATTGCAACCCCTCGACCAGATGTGAGTAAGCACCTGATAAACCTCATGAGCCGGGAAAACAAAGCCAGCTCTGTAGAATGCTGGGTTCAGATCGAATGGCAATAACAAGGAGGTGACGTTCAATATGATCCATGAGACGAGGGCCATGGGGATAAATGGAGGCGGTAGCCAAATCGTAAAAACGTCCAGCGTGAGAAAGTTGACATGGGCAAAGAGCCATATGGTAGCCCATGACAAGACGAACTGATTGCCGTTTACATCCCAACCCGCCTTGAAAGCCCAGATAACACCTACAACGCAAAGCGACCCAATGAACGTGTAAATGAGAGATAGTAAAAGCCGGACCACAATAATGCGGTGCGCCTTGAGGCGGGTATAGAGTTTGAATTGCGCGTAGAGGCCGTTGATCGTACCAAGATAGCAAAATTCTTCAATCATGATCAAAATAATGACGACGGTGTTATAAATCGCTCTTGATCCTTGAGAGGTTGGCTGAATGTTTATAGATTGGAGCTTCCATGGTTCGGCCAGGACACCCAGGGCGGTCTTGCTGGACACAGACTGAATGTTGCCTGTCCCGTTCCCCTTACTGTATTGGAACCTGGCCACTTCGGATAGTAGACGGAGATTTGACGAGATCGCGGCATCTACAATGGGGGCATATACAGCCTCGTTCCACACATAGCCCATTACATCCGAGTTGTTATATCCCGGCGCTGTGGCGTCCCCTTCCAATGCCTGTTGGAGCTGGTCTGAAGATCCCTTGTTGACAAAGAAAGCTCCCCAGTACCTTGTCTTGCAAACCGCTTCTAGGAGATCGTTTTTGGTAGGGAAGTCGGAGGCTGGCTTTTCAATTAGGGAGGGATAGTCTTTTCCTTGAAGAACTGAGTATGCACCCCCATCGTAGTCAACAAAGACGATTCGAAGATTATGCGTATGGTTCGACTGCTGGTAGAGGGAGCCCAGTATATAGCAAAAGAGTCCAAGGAACAGTAGTTGCAGGTGGAGAAAGTTGCTACCCGCTGCCTTGAACCATGCAACCCTGGCCTTCCTTACAACCAAGTCATTTCGTGGCAAGCGGCCAGTGAAGGCCTTGGGGTATAGCGACTCAATTAACGATAGCATTCTCCCTAGGCAGTGACTTTCATCTGTGTATAAATTTGCAATAGTGTGTCGCCGTTTTCTTGTCAGAAGATGGGCCTTTGAAATTCAGAAAACACTCAACTTCGCAATTTGACATAATGTCATCAACAGTCATCATGTGTAAGTGTATGTCAGCACTAAGGCTAAGAGAGACATCGTGGTTCAGCTAAGCAAGCGTGCTGACAAAGCTCTATTCCTGAGCTCCAGGGCCAGTTCAAAAACCTCGAGCTAATCCAGGCGATGCGAAACCCTTAAAAAGGTCAGGTTCTGGACAAACACGATTCTGACAAGCCGTTGGATAACTTTCCAAAAAACCATCTAGCATGAGGCTTATGGGGCTTGCGGACACTATCTGATTAGTGGCCCTAACTACCTACTCCAGGCGCCAAAACCGCGGGAGTGCGCTAAGCTTTATAGACACAGATTCTCGCTTAATACAACCCTTTGAAGTACTATAGATGAGTCAAGCCATAACTTTGAGATACTTCCTTATGACTTTGGTGGTAGCGGTGAGACAGGCCACTCATAATCTCTTCTAAAGTGCGATCTTAGAGTCCACTCACCGCAACCAACCTCCTTTACCTCTTCTTTTTCCAAGCCAGGAAGTATAATCTCAGCGACAGTGTTTGGCGGAACCGTCGTTTCGATAGTAAACTCCTCGGTGTCTCCGTCAATAACCCTCGTTTCCCACTCAAAACAGATCGTACCTTGAGGGGAAACATGCGACGCAGCAGCTCGAGAAAAGGTAGCGCCGAAAGCTGGGGAAATACGAACTCTCCTCCATCCAGGCTCAAGCCTCTGCAGCCCGGCGACTCTCTCATACATGAACTTGGCTATAGCGCCAAAGGCATAGTGGTTAAATGAAGTCATTTCTCCCGGGTTGATAGAACCGTCAGGCAACATACTGTCCCACCTCTCCCAGACTGTAGTCGCACCCATAGTTACTGGGTATAGCCAAGATGGACAGCCTTTCTCGAGCAGCATCGCATACGCAACTTGGATGTGGCCGGTAGATGCAAGGGCTTCACAAAGAAAAGGCGTGGCGGCAAATCCTGTGCCGACTTTGAACTCGTTCTTGCGTACGAGCTCTACAAGCCGATCTCCAGCTCGTACTCGTTGTGCTGGGTTAAGGAGGTTAAGATAAATAGCCAGTGCATACGCAGCTTGGGAATCTGACGTGATGCGCCCCCGTGGTGTGACATATTCTTGCTGGAATTCGATTCGTGTTGCTTTGTAGTCCTCTTTGAATCTCTGCTGTTCATCCTTCCGCCCCAACACGCCACATATCTTGCTCATGAGATCTAGACTTTGTAGCAAGAACATATTTGACACCATCTTTGCGTCTGTTGCCCCTTTCCATGGCTGATCTGGTGGCGCTGCTGGATCAAGCCAGTCCTGTTTCAATTATCAGCACTATAAAACTTAGAAGTCATTCTTCAGAACTTACGCCGAGTTGAAAGGGTTTTGGGTCCCATAGTCCTGAAGTCTGTCGAGGGAGAACCTTCATCCACTTCATCATGCTATCATATTGCTGAGCTAGGATACTCTCATCACCGCTCTCTTGATAAAGGGTCCAGGGTGCTATAATCGTGACATCATGCCAAATGGCGCATGGTACTCTTCTACACCAGATCGGATCTGGGAGAGTGGCATTAGGGCTGACCATTGGAGGAACGCCATCAAGAACATCCTGGTCAAATGCAAGATCGATTAGCCAGTTCTTCAATATGCCAAAGCAGTCATAAATAAGGCACCCTGTAGGGCCAAAGAGAGACAGATCTCCAGTCCAGCCGAGTCGTTCATCTCTCTGAGGACAATCAGTCGGCACTGAAAGGAAGTTGCCTCTCATACCCCAGACGATATTCTGATATAGTTGATTTAGCAGTGGGTCTGAGCAAGAGAAGTGACCAGCGGATTTCATGTCAGTGTGACACACAACAGCTTCGATACAGGACATATCAAAGCAACCGGGCCAGTTGTCAACCTGAGCGTACCGAAATCCATGGAAAGTGAATCGTGGTTCCCAGCATAGCTCTGTCGGCGAATATTTGAGTGTTATCTCGTCCTTCGCTTGGCATATTCTCAAAGGCCGAATACAAAGCTCTTCGTTCTCCATGACTTCGGCATGTTGGAGGGTAATCCTGTGTCCATCCGATCCTCTGATGCCTGATAGACGTAGATATCCAACGAGATTCTGACCAAAGTCAAGGACCCTTTTCCCACTTGGTGTCGTGATCTCTTTGACAGGAGATATGGTTCCGACCCGACGCCCTGGTTCTGCAAAGCCTGCAACGAGCTCTGTTGATACAGGTGGGAATCTCAGCGTTTGTGCATCTGTCCATCCCCTCGGCCTTTCTTGATCCATCACCGATGACCAATTTGGCACCTCCATTGTCATGTCATATTTCTCTCCATCATATATCTCCGCCAAACGAGTTGGGCCTTGTATAACCTTCCACGAACCATCGCTCTCTATTATGCATGTTTGACCATCTTCGTAAGTAACTTCCAACTGCGCAAGAAGAGCAGTATGAGGACCCCATATGTTTCTGTGTCCGCCTTCAAACCCAATACGGCCACAAAACCATCCCTCTGCAACTCTGATTCCAATACAATTCGAACCGTTTACTAGGTGCGAAAGAACATCATAAGTCTGGTACTGGAGTCGCCCATAATAAGATGTCCATCCTGGGGCGAGGAAATAATCACCGACGCGTTGCCCATTGATCTCAGCTTCATAAACTCCCTGCGCGGTGATATAGAGTCGTGCTTTGACAGGTGAGCTGCGAAGAGCAAATTTCCTGCGGAACAAGTCTTCAGGGCTAGCTTCTGTCGTTTCTGAAGCCCATGGGGCGGCGATGCGCTCGCAGGTCCAATCTGACCGACGCAATAGCCCTACTTCAAGATGGGCAGGCTTACTCCAGGGACTCTTTTCCTCCTGCTCATCCCAAACTCGAACCCGAATTGATACATTCTCACGAGACTGGAGAGGATCTCTAAATGGCCATGGAATCAGGATATTTTCCTGGGATTGTTGACTTGCAGTCAATACATCGTGGGCCTCTTGGCTAGGACCGTACTTAGTCAATTCGATGTCGTATCCATTTTGTGCACTGCGAGTGTCGTGTTGTGCGATCTTCCAAGAGATTCGTGGCGTGGACTCTTGAACCCCAAGAGTATTGGGAGCGTGATAATGCTCGAAGCGAACATCAGTTACTGACAACATGATGAACAGCCTGTGAAATTCTTCAAACAAATTGGTATCCTCCGCAGATGAAGCCGGCAAGTATAATTCGTTTCGCTGTAATTTATCCCGAAAAACGAATTCATGGATGAGCAGCTACCTTGTTCACGTTAGTCGGCACCAGTTATCCAATATCGTCGGAAAACCCATCGTAAAACACCTCGTAGACTAGAGTCACCGTAATCACGCGTCAAATCGTTGTACCCGCTATGACTGCTCACTGGTGCATGACTACCTTGAGTACAGTACACTGGCCAATGGGGGCTCAATTGGTACGCGGCTTCGCTTCTAAACGCGGATCTCCTCACCCTACTCCGCACACCATGTTAGCTAACGTTAGTTCACGGACCTGTCTACCTTTACAGATATTCCGACAGCATTTCCGACGTGGAATGTTTGTTGTTGTTGTTGTCAGCTTGACTTAACTCTCAGCATGGCTCTGTCAACACCACAATGCCCCCCATGTATTATGTTCCCCACGGGGATGAGGAAAATCTGGGGAAGCTTCGCACTGTTGGGACATGAGATGTACTCCAGGTTCTGCTTAGGTTAGACTACTCCGACACTTCCCCCCAATGTTGAAGCAAATCGTCACCCACCGTAGGTGCACATGTAGAATACTCGTTCACCAAATATTATCCGAGGATAGAGAATTGCCCAACCTTTGAGCCAAGTCAGCGACTATAAAGTCAGTGACTCAGAACCACTTTTTGCGGTCATCACAAGTCAATCAAACATTACTTTGACTCGCATTGGTTGCAATCCACACCAACAAAACATGCCGATCTGCCCGATCTCCCTCATCGCATTGGGTGCCACGCTGTTGGCACCTACTGTTTCAGGACAGTACTCGCCTCATTTTCCAGAACCCCCCAACCCGGAGTCCATCGAGGTTGTCGAGCTCCCTTTGCCTCCTGTCGTTTCAATCAATGCTACAGGAGCTTGTACCGCCAAAATCAACCCCCGAGGAACTGGCTGTATCGGTGTAGATACTGGAGGAGAGCAGGACTTCCAGTCAGGAGACTTCACGCCTGATGGGAAGCACATCGTGGCCAATGTGGTCTTCATCGGTGCCCCTGCAGCTCCAGACCCTGCGAGCATATATGACGGCGAGCATTTGATCCTTATCACCACTGATGGTACCAACTTTCCTAACGGTGATCCATGGAAGTGTATCACTTGTGGTGTCCCGTCAAAGAATGCTCCTTGGCTCGATCCCCAGAGAGACTATCCTCATGTCTTTCGAAGCGGTGATAAGGCGCTGTGGGGTCATAACATCATCTCCTGTGGCGGACATTCGTTGGCTAGTGATGGTTGTACTCCGAACAACACTCACATCTATCCAATTCACTGGACAGTGACCGCTGATGGGAGTGGGAAAGGCGGTTCTCCTCGAGAGATGCGCCTCCATCCCGACGATGAGCACATGGGCTGGAGCTCCTTCACTAATACTGGAGGCCAGTATACTTACTTTGGCCGGCTGGAGTTTAATGCCGATCCAAAGGCTGGGGAGCCTCTTGTTCCTCGATACGACTTGGTTGATGTGAACATTCTCGTCGACAAAAATGGCAAACCTCCCATGTACGTCGAAGGCGAGAAATTAACTATCAACCATGATGCGATTACTTCCGGCGAGCTACGTGGCTTCAGTGGCTCGGGCGATGAGATTCTGTACATCGGATCACCCGTGGAAGCCAACAACATCGATGTCATGGCCGTCCATCTTACCACTGGTGCTATCCGACGCCTCACTAGTCATCCCGATTACACTGACCCAATTACCATGTCTCACGATAATCAGTGGATTGTTGCTATGGACACGCGTGTTGTAGGTCGCCAGATGTTCATGTCTGGTATGAGATGGATCCCTCCTATTATCGATTACCTCGTTGTTGCCATCGCTTCTTCAACGCGCAATAACGGGCCACGAAGATTCTTTCAGCCGATCCTCATCAGTCATGACGGAGATAGTGGAAACTATTTTGGTCAGCAGGTTAATGCGGACGGCGACGGAAGCGATGGGAGCGTCAATGATCCCAACTGGAATGGCAGAGCTGACCCCGCTGTGTCTCCTGACAGCACAATGATTGCATACTGGCAAGCTCTTGTGGTCTCTCCTTCTTGCGGCGGTACCAATCCGCTCCCGTGCCCAGTTTCTACTGCCCAAGGAGGCCGTAACTACCGAGTCATGCTTGCCCGTCGTACCTCTTTGAAGCCTTCCAAGCCAGCACCTGTCTTTAAAGCTCCCGACTTTATCCCTTGGGCGAAACCGTTTCCTGCTGGTAGTACATCACCAAAGCAGTATGAGATCCCAGCCGGTAACTATACACTAGAGGGTCAACTGTCAGGCATTGCCGAGGTTTCATTCATTGAAGACCCCGACACTGGGGTCATCCAAACTATCTCGGCTTCCTACAGTAACTATTCCGATCACACAGGCTACATCATTGACGGGTATGAGAAGGTTTCTAAGTGGAAGTTACTTCCTAATGTCTGGAAAGACCGAGTGGAATGGTTCTCCAACATCACGCAAACTGGAGTCGTGGACGGTACTAAGGTCACAAGTGAGGACGGGTTTGAGCTTGAGATTGATGTTTCGGTGAATATCATGGAGACGAACGGAACATTGACAACGATCCTCAATGGGATCGAGTACGTGCAACCTGCTGCTGGAACCTAAGCTAAGTAGAGGAAGGTCTTTTACTTCGACAACAAGTGGTCTATAGTGATAGGATTATATATCCAAGAGATCCCTTAGGGGGTCAAATTCGCCCAGCGCCCGATGCCCATATGTCCAAATTGCATCCCTATCTTTAATGTCCTGCGTGAACCCTAGCAAGAATTGAAGCATCCAAGCATCTAAACGGAATGAATCGTCTTTGCTTCGAAGACAGGCGTTATGGAAATGCTGCAGCCGGCTAATTGACATATGGTTCATAGGCCAGTAGTTGTTCATCGATGAAATCATTTCAAAGTTTCTCTCCAACCGCGTCTTCGCAGCCATGATCTCGTCATCGTCTATACCGAAGAGAAGTGTATGTATCTGAACCGTTGAAGCCAAGCATAGAATATGGCCAGCAAGTGGATACAAAACGACAGTGTCTGGCCGCCATTGAGCTTCATAAATGAGGTCGCACAAGTTTGTTGCGTGCTGTTTACATCGTTGGGCGAACCCTTGCCTACTTTCATCGCCTGCATCCTGTTCTTGAGCAGATTGAAGGTTTTGATAGAATAAGAGCTGACCAGCGTGATTATAGTTGATATGTAGTGTGATAAAAATAGCACCGAAGCCCTCATCAGCCCAGTAGATCACATTTTCCTCGGAATAGCGAAGTCTTGGGGGTAAGTTGTCAGCCCACTCATCAAGGCTGTGGCGAAGTTGATGATCAAAACTTTCGTTCACTGAGTGTTCATCTTGTGTATCTACTACCCGGGAGTTGAGAAAGACAATGATGTCGTAAAGTAAGAGATTGAGCCGGATCATCTGGGCGACCAAAGAGTGCGGATCGAAGTTGCAAATGGGGGATGAACCAGGCGACGAGTCATATTGTATCTCTGGCATGTTGTAGGTCAATGAGGCAAATCGGCCCTCATCCATAGGCAACGGGACGGTGTTTCGTGGTTTTATATATCTAGGGAGAGACTGAGTTGCGCTTGACCATGTCTCAGTTGTAATGAGTGACCACCATACTGCGTAAAAGAGTAAGTACAGCACCTCACGTTCGGGTCAGAGTCAGTCAAAGTTACCTCGTCTGTTAATCTCCTGCTCTAGAACTGACTCGGTTGGTAGGTTTGGTAGGTCTAACAGCATGGCCATGCGTGAAGCTATTGCTTGATACACCGACTCGGCCCTAGAATCTCCCTCAACTGACGCGTTTGCTGCGAGCAACATGCAAGCTTGGATACTTATCAATGAAGTATCCTCCAGATCAAGCAATCTCTTACATTCATCCCGGTACGGTCGTCCTCTATCCCATGGTGTAATAGACGCAAATACGGGATGTGTCGAATATCGCGCCGACAGACCTGCGACACCAAAGAATAGAATCTTTGGGATAGAAGAGTCCTTTACCTGCGCTATGAATGTTGCACGATGGAATATGTTGTGAAACGTAATGTGCATGTATCGGAAATAAAGACTTGCCAACTCCTCGGCCAGAGCTGCATCAGGAACGACCAGTGAAGAGACACGACGAGGTCTTCCATCATCTACCTGATTTCCAAGTGACTCATAGTGCTTTTCCAAGGTGTTGGGGACAGGGTTATCCGTGACTCCAACACAGTCGAGGCGCCTTTTGATGCAGAAATTGCAACTTAGACCTGGTCGAGACCGGTCACACTTTTTCCGCCGATCGCTAGAGGGCTTGATGTCAGATTAGATTTGTAAACAATAAGACAGTGAGACGTACCGACATGCTACACAGGCTGATAACGGTCTCATTTCGATCGCTTAATGGGTCATTTGCTGTGGGTTCAGAAATGAGGAATTGCTCCCGTGCATTTTCATTTCATTCTGGGATCTAACCCCACAGTATCATGAGACGGGCCGTATCCACTATAATCCGACGAGTTTTCCGACGGAGACATGGAGAAAAGAGTTCGCTAGCAACTTGATGTGGGGACTCTATGTTGCTATTTCAAAATCCGCCAGGTTCTCCGACGGGAACTCTACTTACCCTATGGCATGCAGCGCGAAGGCAATGATTCCATGATGGATAGATGTCAGTCAAGCGGGGGTTGTGCTAATACGCTTTCTTAAGATGCAGAACTGGTATTCTACTGGAACCTCTAGGTCAGGCTTGTAAACACACCGGCCTCGACAGAGCAAGCTTTTTTCTTCAGGCCAAATCAAACCACACTCAATCAACATTACCTTTTTTCACATTCTCGTTATCTTCTCTCTTACCATCCAATTACAATGTCAAAAGAGGCTTCTATGTTCCAGGCTGGTGACTTGGTCGCCAGCTCAGGTACAACCGCCGATCTGACTGTCCAAGAGCTCCCACTGCCAACAGACTTTCGCTGGGGTACCGCCACTGCAGCATATCAGGTCGAAGGGGGCGCAAACCAAGATGGCAAAGGCCAATCCATCTGGGATACCTACACACATCTCGAGCCCCCGCGAACCAATAACGGAGAGACTGGTGATGTAGCATGCGACCACTACAATCGAGTCCCCGAGGACATTGAGCTTATGAAGGCTTGCGGCGTTGACGTTTATCGCTTCTCACTATCATGGACACGTATCATTCCGCTCGGAGGCCGCAACGATCCTATCAACGAGAAGGGAATAGCTTTCTATAACGATCTCATCGACCGATTGTTGGCGCACGGGATTGAGCCTGTGGTGACATTATATCATTGGGATGCACCACAGACTCTTTACGGTCGTTACAAGGCTTTTCTTAATACCGAGGAGTTTACTGCCGACTTTTGCAACTATGCGCGATTATGCTTTGAGCGTTTTGGTGATCGTGTCAAGAAATGGATCACATTCAACGAGCCATACATCATCTCCATCTTTGGCCACGTCAACGGTACACTTGCCCCAGGCCATCGTGCAGAAGACGGTTTCGACACCAAGAATGAGCCATGGCGCGTCGGCCATACGCTGATCATATCGCATGCTGTTGCTGTTCAGCTCTATGCGAAGGAGTTCAAGCCTGCGCAACAGGGGGAGATCTCTATCGTGCTGAATAGCCATTTCTACGAGCCATACTCCGATACCCAAGCCGATATGGATGCGGCGCAACGAAGACTTGAGTTCTATGTCGGATGGTTCGGCGATCCCATTTTCCTTGGAGAAGATTATCCCGTCTCGATGCGGAACTACCTAGGTGACAGAATCCCCCATTTCAGCATTGAGGAGCGCAACCTCCTTCGAGCGACAGCTCGTCTTAATACCTTCTATGGCATGAACCATTACTCGACAAAGTTCGCCCGCGCTCTCCCCGATCCTCCCTCCGAAGACGACTGGACAGGCAATATTGAGGAGGGAGCAGTCAACGGAGCAGGACAGGAAATAGGGCCCGTATCCCAGTTCCAATGGCTCCGTGTCGCACCCAATGGCTTCCGTAAGTTGTTGAACTGGGTCTGGAATCGATACCATCTTCCTATCATCGTCACGGAAAACGGATGCCCATGCCCTGGAGAACAAGATCTAAAGGTAGCAATTGACGACCGATTTCGCCAGAGATATTTCGGTTTGTATCTGGATGCTATCTCGCGAGCTGTATATGACGACGGCATTCCCGTTAAAGGCTACTACGTTTGGACGCTCATGGATAACTTTGGTATGCTACTCTTTCTTTACATCGATCGCAAGACCCACTAACAAACGCTTTCAGAATGGTCAGCTGGATATCAGCCGAAATTCGGTATTGTTCATGTTGACTATGAAAACGGCCTGACCCGCACTCCCAAGAACTCGGCAACATACCTACGTGAGACTTTCCAGAGAAGGAGGCAGAAATAGGATAGACATAGACGCGTATAGACCTCTTTATGATAGAACAGAGTAGAAGCACAAATGCCTTAAATTTGGGCATAACCTAGCAACACGAACCTACTCGAGTTGAAGATAGTGCATAAATTGAAACTCATGTATTTCATCAATTCACCCCTAATAATGTTGTTTGGAGAGCTCGGTTAGCTTTATGTCCACCGAATGTAAAAAGACAAAAGTCGCATCTGAAACGTCCAACAGATACCGAGGTGACCAACAATTGCGACGTTAATTGCGGCTGAACTCAAGAGTGGTGCCACGACAGTCCATGATCCACATCCCCGGGTTTGGGTAGTGTGTTCAGAAGTCGAGACCTTGAGCTTTGCCGAATCGACCATTTGTGGCGTTCCAAGTGACATGGTCGTCGCTAAATGCTACCCCGAAGCCCATGAGGAAAACTTGTCGGAATATGATTCAGTCCAGATTTGTCCCCAGTTGTCAAGTTAGATCGCGTGATGTCCTGAGCGAGCCTCTATTCCCGAACCATCAACTCAATTCCAAAAAGTCTAACCAATCGGCTTAACGCAACAGTCTCGAAATGGTCAGATTCTGGGAACACATGGACTTCACAAAGCGTCGGAAAACGCTGTCGGAAAACTCGTCGGGCATGCACCTCACGCAAACTGACCAATGAGAATCCATGGTCATGTACCCCAGGCGTCGGGACTGCGGGGTATGAGTCCGCTAAACGTTGGATACGCGGGTTCTCGCTTGTTAGTCTCGTTGACCCCATGGGGAGCGAGGAATTTAACTCGTGGCATGTAGTTCAGCTACATAGAGATGGATTCCTATATGAGATGGCCTCAAGTACGGTTATCAAATCAGCTCTGTATCCTCTTGTCTCTTTGATACCACAGCAGTTACTCGAGATCACCATGGCTCACCCTAACGACTCTAAAACGCCTATCGACAATCCTACCCAGGTCGATTCTCACGATCACGTCGAAACTGCACTCAAGCATGATGACCTTGCCGCCGAGGCCGTCGCACAGGGTCAGGCTCTTTCGGGTTATGAGAACTTGACATTCTGGGAGACTGTCCGGACCTTCAAGATGGCCTCACTCGTCTGTCTGCTCGCGGCCTTTAGTGCTGGAGCTGATGGCTATCAAATTGCGTATGTATTATATCAACCTTTCCATGTCACTGACTAATTTAAGTTTAGTATGCAAGCAAGCATTATTGCTAACAAAGGCTTTGTCCAGCAGTTTGCCACAGCGGTCAACGGAGAGGGAGAGAAGTTTCTTGCATCCAATATCATCGCTACTTGGAGTGCTGGCCAGAACGTAGGCCAGGTCCTCGGTCAGATCGGAATCTCCTTTGTTGTCGCACGGTTCGGTCGCAAGATTTCTATGTACACTCTCTGGACCATCCTCATGAGCAGTGTCTTGGCTGAATCACTTGCCCGAACATGGCCGGTCTGGTTTGGTGCCAAGATGCTTGCTGGCACCGGCGTAGGTTGCCTCCAGGCTACCCTACTGGGCTATATTACAGAAGTGAGCCCGACAAGAATCCGTGGCGGCATGTTAATGCTTTACAGCTTCTGGTGGACTTTGGGTTCCTTCTGTACTCATGTGGCTCTCCAGCGGCTGAACAAGACTGATCCCTTCAACTGGCTTACACCTGTGTATACCCAATGGGGACACATCGGAGTCATGGCCATCATCTACGTCTTGCTTCCTGAATCTCCCTCTTGGTGTGTTACCGTCGGGCAGGAAGAGAGGGCCAAGAAGAGTATCAGGTTTATTTACCGTGGAGTTGAGAACTTTGATGTCGATCGTCACTACGAACTCCTCGCCCTGAACGTCGAACACGAAAAGGCTTTGGCTGCTGAGCAACGAAACGAAAGCTGGATGGCTATCTTCAAGGGTACTGACGGTCGCCGCACCATTACCGCCATGTGGACCATTGTCGCGCAGCAGTTCCTGGGCCTTGCCCTCTTTGGTAGCTTCGGTACATACTTCTTCCAGCAGGCTGGTCTCGCCGACCCCTTCCAAATCAAGGCCATCACCACGTCTCTGCAGATAATAGTCGTTATCTTGGCAGTCTTTGGAGTCGATAAATTCGGTCGACGCCGCATGGCCTGCTGCGCTACTTCCTTGATGTGGATCTCTTGCTTGATTGTTGGTATCATAGGAGTTGCCCCCCAAAGTGGTGCAAGCACCTATGTGTTTGTCTTGTTTGCGTGCTTCTGGAGTGAGTCTTTAATTGCATATCGCCATCGATTACAGTAAGCTTACTTGTGCTTCTCTAGACATTGGCATCTCGGCCAATGGGGCTGCGGGCTGGGGCTACATCGGCGAAATATCCTCGCAACGACTACGGCCATATACTTCTGGCTTCGCAGCGTCTGCCAACTCCGTCACTGGTCTGATCATGTCTGTTCTCACGCCATACATGGTGAATGCCAACAAGTGGGATTGGAAGCTCAAAACTGGCTTCTTCTACGCTGGCGTTGGTCTACCTTGGGTCATCGGTACGTGGCTGTTGGTTCCCGAGACGGCTCGGTAAGTGCCACGTTGAATACCTTCAAGTTTCGATATATACTGACTTTTTCTAGGCGATCACCTGCCGAGCTTGACGAACTATTTGAGCGTAAGATCAAAGCTTGGAGATTCCATACAACTGAAACTGCTACGCAGCGCCTGATGCAGAGTGAGAACGCGGAAGCTGCGGAGAAATGATGGGTGTTGAGAGATATACTATGAAGAACTCGAAGGTGAGGAAAAGTGGATGAATTGTGGTACTGCACATAAGGGAATCAATCGATGCAATCTTAATGCTACTCTGATAGTGGGGGAATCAGGATGCAAGGCGATTCTAACGGCTATACGGCTCGACAAGTGCAATGAATGACTAGATTCTTGGAGAAGATAGCCCCGCATAGTGCGCGTAATGATGCAAGTTCAAAGATAAGCACTTTACCCAATTGAATGACTTGAGTCGACAATCGTCTGGGGTATACAGTCGATTTAAGTTTGGACTCGGATAAGTATATATCCTCACTGCGATACAGAGAACTTATAAGCCTAGGTTATTGCCGTATTAACCGGGACCACGCGGCACTCACTACTACTACGGCAATAACGGCAAATGGGGTCCATAGCGAATCCCCAATTAATGTCAACTGCGGGGTACGGGGCAGAGAGTGTTGGATTCAGTTCTCCGGATTTTACCATTGCATTGCGGGGTCTCCGCGGACCTGGGGTAATGGTAATGAATGCTCTTATATACCAATGCAGCCCTGCGCTCATTTCTTGCCTCCATGTAAGATGCTCTGAAAATTCGATAAGCAGGAGCTGAATGAAGGAGATCTTACTTCTTTACCTTAGTATAAGCAGCGCCACGGAACTGGCTCTTATCACTGATTCCCGCTCAGTCTTCTTCTCACCTTCAAATAACTTATTATCCCAGGTTATCTTCAACTAGGCTATCATGTCTTATTTCGGCCTTCGGGGGAAGCCTCTCAGCACCCTACTGAGTATAGTAGCAGCGACAGCCTTTGCTCTTCAAGGCTATGATCAAGCCGTCATGAACGGTCTATTGACCCTGGATACCTTCAAGCACCAGTTTCCTCAAATCAGGAACTCAAACATCGAAGGTGAGCACGATATGACTATTCCCTTACACCTTTTCTTCTATGGCTGCTGACTGAGCTTGTCGTTTCCCTTCAGGTACGGCCGTGGCTATTTATGAGGTTGGCTGCGCGATCGGAGCCCTGTCTTGTGCCTTTCTTGGCGACGTTCTCGGTCGCCGTCGTACAATCTTCATTGCAGGCTGCATCGTGATTATGGGTGTTGCGATACAGAGCAGTTCGTTCTCTCTTGGACAGCTCATTGCTTCCAGAGTCATCACTGGTCTTGGGGTGGGTGCATTGACTGCTACGATTCCCATGTGGGTGTCCGAGTGCTCCAGTGCCAAAGATCGTGGTCGGCGAGTTCTGCTGCAAGGTTTCTTTGCCATCGGCGGAATTGTAGTCGCATCGTGGATGGAATTTGGTCTCTATTTCATCAAAGATAACCAAGTCAACTTTCGCTTCCCTATCGCGTTCCAAGGCTTGTTCGCCATCATCATCACCTCATTCGTCATGTTCCTTCCCGAGTCCCCTCGCTGGCTCATCAAACAAGATCGATTCGAGGAAGCGATTCTGGTCATGGCTGCTCTTGAGGACCTCCCTGATGACTCCGAGGTCATCCGTGAGGAGCTTTCCCTTATCCGCGACGCCTATATCGAGGAGCAGAACCAGAAAGTATCCGTCTTCACCATGGGGCCAGAACGCCAGTTTCATCGTGCTGTTCTCGCCGTCGGCCTCGCCATCCTCGCTCAGATGTCTGGCATAAACATCGTCACCTTTTATTCCACAACTATCTTCCAGCAACAGCTCAACTACTCACCAACAGAGTCTCGCATCTTCTCTGCAAGCTTGCAAGTCTGGCAGTTCATCGCTGCTGGTATTGCCCTTGTTCTTATTGACAGGTTCGGCCGTCGAAAGCTGCTCATGGCTGGTGCATTGGGCATGTGTGTCGCACAGACTTCGCTAGCAGGTCTCATGTCTGACCTGACCAACAAATCTGCAAGCGAAGCTGCCATATTCTTTTACTTTGTGGCTATGTTCTTCTTCCCCGTTGGCCTATTCCTTCTTCCTTTCATGTATGCTGCCGAGATATCGCCCTTAAGCATCCGTGCGCAGATTACCGCCATTAGTGCCTGCGCCAACTGGCTATTCAACTTCCTCGTTGCTGAAGTTTCCCCTCACGCCTTGAAGAACATTGGATACAAGTACTACATTGTGTATGCATGTATCACCCTTTTCACCTTCATCGTTATCTTGCTCTTTTATCCAGAAACTAAGGGCCGTACTTTGGAAGAGATTGATGACATTTTTATCCAGTCAAAGAGCATTTGGGACCCTGTCAAGACTGAGAAGAATATGCCCAGAAATGCCGTGGCATTGGCTGAACGGATCCGAAACGCACATGATGCGGAGAAACACAACGCAATCCATGCTGAGAATATTTAAGTAGACCATTATTATATTACATTGGTTCAGCATTTCCCCTACACCATTTTTTACTATCTGCCAGCTCCTCACGTGATTAGACCCAGCCACAAGGTATCGCAATGCTCTCTCTTAATCTCCACCAACTTGATTCCCGCAAATCTCTATAATCATTAGAAACTAAGTATTGTTTACTTACATAATGGTTAGACTTAACTTTTCTGCACTCAAGCACTATTTTGTCAATTTTGCAGATCAAGCGGGTCGACCAGCTAAGATGTTCTGGAGCAACCCGCCACGAAACATTCTAATACCACTAGTAAGCATGTGCCTCTATCTTGTCCATCCGCACTTCTCTCTAGATGATATGTACATGAAACAAATTTCAAGACATATTCGGGATAGGGATGGTGATCTCTTTCGATTCGAAGTATTCCACGTCCCTGAGGCTAGTAACGTCGACTGTGCCCAGCATTACCGAGACGAACTAAAGGCTCGAGGTGATGTATTTGAGCAAGTTCAAGAGGCGGAACAGTCATACAAAAACTGGGAGGATAAGGAAACAGACGCTCAGTACGCAGCTGAAAGTGAGCCCGACGGCAAGCTTGCTGGCCTTGTATCATCACAAAAGGGCCCACTTGTTGCTTACCGCGGCGTCGTATACGAGTACACGGATGCTACATGCAAACATGAAGACGAAGAGTAACCATTCAATGTCGTTGAAATCGATCCAGCATTGACACCGAATGACTATAGCCCTAGTGAACCGGAAAGAATAGGACCGTAGCCCCCCTTCAAAACGACACGCATGTTGGCCAAGAGAAAGTCCAAGGTTTTACGATATGAGGATCAAGTGGTTTGGCAGTGATTTGGCAGTGGTTTATGGACCATAGGTCTTGGAGTGGGTGAGGTCCAACTACGATCGTGACTCCCGAAGCTCAGTCCATGGAATGGACGTCATGGCAGTAAAATCAATTAAAGGTACATGAGAGAATACACCAATACCGTGAGAACGCCAAATACTGCATTCAATATCTACCATGATATATCTGTACTTTCTCTGCTCTTTACAGAGACAGGAACATTGCCATGCCCAACTCTCTTTCCTCCCTTAACTTTAGGTGCCGTCAGATGCCGAAATACTCCTTTTCCAAGCTTGCTATATAACGGAAGAACACCACCAGACTCAATAAGAGCTTCCTCCACTTCTGACTGCATGTAGTGAAAAATCACATCTGAGCCTTCGATTCGGATAGTCTTGGTATCTTTGTTGATAGTAATGATAGAGTCTTCCAGCGCGAGCTCGTAGAACCGTTGATCATGGATCTTTATGCTGAACAGTCCCATGTTAAGTTGATTTCTCTCATCTAGTCACATCAATCATCAATCTTCGTGGTTTCGAGTCAGGGACAACGTACAGATGAATGCGAAACCTTTCGCTATTACTGCCTCAACACCTGCTCCCTGCAGGGCTCTTACTGCGTCTTCCCGCGAAGATCCACTGCCAAACCCATTCTCGGCAACACTTTGTCGTATTAGCGTCCGTCAAAGTATGGCGTCGCCAGAAGCTTACATGACAGCTGAGCCATTCCTGGCCTTGTCCCTAAACTCAGGGCGGAAGTACTGGAAACAATGGCTTCCGAGATCAGCATTATCAACTCCTGGCATGAACTCAGCAGGAATGATTGCATCACTGTCGTTGTCAGTCAAGTCCATCCGAAGTGGGATCTCGTTCAACTTACGTATCAACATTTTCACCAAAGCGCTGCACCTTCGATTGTATGATCCTCGGAGTAATAGCTCCAACATCGTAATCGCCCTTGTTGAGGAGAACAGGGACAGAGTTGGATGATATCTCGGGTCTCGGTTCAGTAATCCTTAGTACTGGTTGGAGCCCATTGGATCTTCCTCCACTGACAAGTCTCTCAAGTTTTGCACAGTCCAGCTGATCAAGCAAGAACTTGGGATCCGTGACAACCATATCGAAGCTCGAGGCAGCCACAGCAGCTGCACACGTGATGTTACCAAAGCTTCCCTTGCCCATTCGGTTCCTAAAGTTGCGGTTCTGTGAAGAGAGCCAAACTTCTCCTTCCCCAGCCACATCAACATCGTTGATGCCAACGCAGTAGGAACAACCAGGCGCACCGATCTCAAAGCCAGCTTGCCTGTAAGTGTCCAGCAGACCATGCTTATCAAGGTTCTTGATTATGATGAGGCTTCCTGGTGTGACGCGGCGTTTCCCGTGGCGAGATGGTCGCATACCTGCGTACAACCCAGCCTCAAGCACCAGAGCGCCGACGATTAGGTCCTCTTCAGTCGTAGTACAGGCACCAATGAAGCATCCATCAAGTATCATACCAGCCTTTTCATGTATCGGAACGACATCATCCGGATTTGGATGCAGCGCCATCGTGAGACGGACTTCTGACAGATCAATAGTTCTCACATCGACATATTGAGCGTCTGGGTCGGCCTGAAAGAAGAGACCACCTTCACGATGCTCGGGGAGCTTTCGACGTGCGATCCATGCTGAGGTCTCTTCATCAGCTTCGAAACAAGTGCCCATGCCCCCAAATTCGGTTGTCATGTTGGCAATGGCGAATCGAGCATCCATGGATAGCTCCTTCAAACCAGGACCGCCATATTCCACAGCTCGCTGAAAGGCAATGGTGTTGCGCTTAAAGAGGCCGAGTATATGAAGAATCACGTCCTTTCCACCAACACCAAAAGGCAATTTCCCCACGAAGTTGATCCTGCAAACTTCAGGTACACGAAACCAGGTCTCACCAGTGACCATCGGCATGACAACGTCAGCTGCTCCAAAGCCAACAGCGAAAGAACCCATACTACCCGCTGAGCATGTATGCGAGTCACTTCCAACAACGATACGGCCAGGCTGGGCACGCTCACGAGTAAAGTCAGTGTGCATGATACTGGTATTGGCAGGAAGGAAGTCAATGATCTTGGCCTCTCGTCTGAAGCGCTCAGCTTTAGCGATCAGACCTTTTTGTCGAGGTTGATGGTTTGTGCGTGGGTCAACAGTATGATCCACTGCAAGCCAGAGACGATCGTTGCGGAATGGACGAGGTCTTCCCATTTGGTCATAGGTCTTTTCCATGCCGCCCCAGAGAAGCTCGGATGTGAGCGTCCAATCGACCTTGACGCAGATCATGTCTCCTGTCTCGACGTATGTCCTACTCAGACCAATGCCAGCGTGCGTCAAGATCTTCTCAATGACTCCCATAGGCCGGGCATACGTGGCCTGCCTGGGTGATGAGGGTGGGAAAGTAGGTACCGGGAGAGCATGAGCGTCGGCTGAGTTCAGAGCCTCTAAATAGTAGTCAAAGTTGTGTAGGAGGGTCTCCATGAACTCTTGTGGTGATGCGGTCCCGCCCAAGTCAGACGTCCTCGTGTCAGATCCAACTTGTTCTATAGGATCAAGAGTTCGTCGGATAGCCTTTGTCAATGCTGCGGCTTCAGTCTTCAAACCCAGTGACAGCTCAAGCATAATCCCGACGGCTTGGACGATACTAAGTGGGCTCACTTCACCCTCTCTTGGTTTGAGGTTGAATGGCTCGAAGACACCAGGTGCCTTGCCTTTACCGTGAATAGTAGACACAGCCGCTGATGCCAGAGTATTTGGCGACTTGAGTATTCCACTAGCCTGATCTGACAGAATATCGCCAAACATGTTCTCAGTTAAGATGATTCCGTTCAAGCTTTGGGGATTTGATGACAGTATCATCGAGGCATTGTCAACCAGAACATGGTCCAGCTGAACCTGAGGGAACTCATGGTTGAAAACTTTAGTGACGACAGATCTCCATAATCGAGAAGTGGCCATGACATTGGCTTTGTCAACAGAGTGCACCGGTTTCGGGGGGTTGAATTGCATGGCATATGTACCAGCTAGCCTTGCTAACCTCTGAATGGCAAAACGAGAGTAGCTGGTGGTGTCATATGCTTCACGATCCTCTCCCGCTTCTTGTTTCTCTCCATAGTAAGCACCACCCGTCAAGTCCCGAAAGAAAGTGATATCAAGGCCCTCCACTGCCTCTGGCTTATAAGAGCTGAGTGGTACAAGCGACTCAGACGGAAACTTGACCGGTCTGATATTGGCGAATAGTCCGAGTTCTTGTCGAAGGGCCAGCAGTCCCATTTCTGGCTGTATGCCGTACCTGGGGTCACCGCAGGAGCACAAGACGGCAGCATCGGATTGGAGGCATGCTTCTAGAGTGGAGGTTGGGAGGGAGCTTTGGTGGCCAGCTGCTAACGCCACGCCTCCAAAATCGTGTCTGGATATTTGGAATGCGACATCTGGACGAATGTGTTCGATCACATACAAGATTTGTTCAACGCATGATGCAAGTTGTGATCCGTGCGCGTCTCCTGGTAGGAGTGCTATTCTGAATGATAATTGATCTTTGATGAGAGGCATGTTGATGGCTTAGAGTTGCTTGGTAGGACAAATCAGTCAACATCACAAGATTCGCAATTAAATAGCCCAAGGGACAATTCAACGAGCAGAAGTAGCTTCCGATATCGGAATTTCAACCGAGGATACAGGATTCCAACAAAAGCCCGGCTCGTGGTGATGCTGACCTTCGCCATTCCCCTCAGTTGATTATAACTTGGCGGTCCGCCCTTACCCGGTCTTAGCGCCATTCCCCATGCTCCACCACAAAGGCCCCGGCTGACAACATATGAGCTCGTTCTTTATGACTGGATATCAGTAGAAATGCTCTTTGCAATGGCCGAGATGCGGGGCGATGTATATTTAGCAAACATGCAGCCTCTGTGTTCGCGAAGGGGAGTCTATAAGTCATCAGGGTTCGTGAAAGCCGAGCCAAATCGCCATCAGCAATAGGGTAGTTGGAGATACACTGCTGTCCTGACATTGTCATGATCCTGCGTCCTCGGCACAAAATTGGTCAGACAATAAGAGCTTGATTAACTAGAATAATTGATCCTGTCGTTTTGATTAAATCGGTTTCCTCTAATGTATCCGTGACTAAAGTGTCCCCAACCCGACTGTCTAATCCTTCCACTGATGACCATTGGCTCCATTAGCCCTCCCCTCATATTGATACTTCTCCTCAGTCTCGTAGTACTTATTAAACCCAACACCCTCACAAACCTCGTCATACGACAGAACAACGGGGGGCTTTCCAACCGTCATGGAATCCTTGATGTTCTCCAGTGTCACCCGTATACTCTTGAGCTTCGCAGCGACAAGCGTCCAAGGATAACAGACAATGCTGTAGCCAAGCTCAGCAAGGTCTTTTGCGGAGAGATTCTGGGTTTTGCCACCCTCAATGATGTTAGCGACTACAGGAAAGTCGAGATCCTTACGAAGACGTTCCATTGACTCGCGATCAGGAAGGGCTTCCACAAAAACAGCATCAACTCCGATCTCGATGGCTTTGCGTGCCCTTGTAAGGGCCTCATCGTATCCGTGGATCAGACTGTCTGTGCGGGCGAGGATCCAAATGTCTAGGCCTTCATTCCTAGCGTCGACAGCGGCCTGCCAGCGAGCGTAAGCTTCGCTTCTGGACACCACGCTTTTGCCAGCAGTGTGGCCACAGCCTGTTTACTTGAGGTTAGCTCCAGTTTCTTCTTGCCTGCGTGCCTTGACGTACGCTTTGGCCACGATTGGTCCTCGAGCATGATCCCAGCAGCTCCGGCCTGTGCAAATCTGTTCATCGA